TCTGATTATGAGCCTTTCAGCTAATGGAAAGGATTTTTCTTTTACTTAGCCAATCTAAAATCTGAATGAGTTTAATCACCTCTATCAATCTTCTGCTCACTTTCTCTGCTTTAAGAAGAACAGTCCAGCTTCTCCAATCTAACCACGCAACTCTAATTCTTCATATCAATCTGGTAAACCTCTTGCGGTAGTATCATACAGTACAGAGGAGGGTCTTTGGTTCATTGATTCTGCATGGACAAACTACTCTAGCTTGACTTTCTAGCACGTGCTCAATAGCATTGAATGTTATGACATTTCAAGTACTCATCCAAGTACTTTTTTGAAGATTGTGAGGTTTCCTGCCTCAATTACCCTCCCAGGCAGTGCATTCCAGATTCCCACCACTATCCATGTGAAAATTATTTTCCTAAAATATCCTCTGAACCTCCCACTTTTCACCTTAAAATTATGTCCCTTATTATTGACTCTTCAACTAAGGGAAACAGCTGCTTTCTATTCATCCTGTCCTTGCCCCTCATTATCTTATACACCTCAATCAGGTCCCCTGTCAGTCTTCTCTGATCTAAAGAAAACCACCCACGTTTATCCAGCCTCTCTTCATAGCTAAACTGCTTCATTCCAGGCAACACCCTGGTGAATCTATACCCTCTACGACGCAATCACATTCTTCCCAGAGTATGGTGACCAGAACAGCACACAGTACTCCATCCATGACCTAACCAAAGTTTTATACAGCTCCAACACTTCCTGCTCTTATAATCTATCCCACGATTAATAAAGGCAAAATGTCCTGCATGCCTTCTTAAGTACCTGATTAACCTGTGCGCTGCCTTCAGGGACCTGTGGACAAGCACCCCAAGATCCCTCCGAGCTTCCTCATGTCCAGTAAAGATGAAAAAAAACTCAGTGCTCAGACCAAGTTAATGCAACTGATTAATATTAATGGAGGGTTGTCAATGCCCCAACATTGATTTTATTGAAGGCTGGGATAGATAGATTTTGGTCTCTTGGAATCAACAGTACAGGGAGTGGGTAGGAAAGTGGAATTGAAACTTGTGATCAACTGTGATTGTATGAAATGGCCGAGCAAGCAGGATGGCCTGTATGGTCTACTTCTGCTCCTCAGCTCTTGTGTTATAGTTTCCATTCACCATGTTTGTATATTCCCACTGCTTCATCGGGATGCATTTAGGCCTATCTTGCTTTATGGATCCAGAGAATTTAACAAGCTTGGCAAGACCAAAGCACTTGGGTTCACAAACATGCACATGAGTTTAACTAGTGAAAACTGCAAATACTCTGGTTCCTCAGGATCAGCCTCCCAGTTAAAGTGCTACATTGAAATTTTTGGCCACGGAGCGTAAAGAATAGCAGTCACCCTGCCAATTCCATTGATGAGTCAGGCTGGGTGGTGGTAGACCACTGAGAAATTTCTTGGCTGAAGCACCAGAATATCATGCCTACTACACAGGATTGGCTTAATTCAGACTCTGCATTAGCAGACATGCCCACAGTCTCTAGGAACTTCGTGTGCTACATTTGGTACACAGCGTAATTCATCAGAACAAGGCAAGTTACTGATCACTTCATGAACACACACCATAGTTGGTCTAGCAGTAGTTACATAGTTGGATGAGTCAAACTTCAGCAATATCCGCTTGTTGCCTTGTGACATGGTCATGCAGGCACCAAATCCTGGGTAAATGAAATTATTGTTCGTGCTTAACCTCCTGCTAAAGTTTCACAACAATCTTTCAGGTCTCAGAATTTACTCTTTAATGATGTCCAGCTGTTGATGAATCAGCCATTTTCTTCCTTCAGAGGTTCAGGCACAGTGTCAGATCTTCTTAGGCCATCCACAGGATTCAGGATGGAACTTCTTTTTACTCCAATTGGCAATGAAGCCCACTGCATGAAAAACAGACTGTCACCTACAGTGGTACTTGGTGGGTCAGATGGATGAATTATACTTCAGACCCCTGCGTATTCCTACTGAAGTCTCTTGTTGTGTTTGGTGCCTTCCCCAATTGAACTTCTCTTAGGATCCTCCTGGGATAATCAGTAACAGGCTAAGGATCAACAGCACCGTCACTTCTTGACCTTTATTTCAGGTTCAGTTTGATCCTGGATTAAATCAGTTTTAGATAATTTCATCAAGCCCACATATTTCAAGACTCAGATGTTTTCTCCTTTCCTGACAAATGGTCCCAGCAGATTCCAAGACTATACCTTTCTGTTGAGGAACGGTTCCACTGGTGTGAAGTGGCCTGTGACACCTCAACGAAATAATTATCCTTAATGCAGGAGAATTGCTCTGCAACTTCTCCCAGTGAAGCCACTGAGGATGTCACCAAGCACAGTAACGAAACATCTGCGGAACAACAAACCAGCTCGGCAAGCCAACCAAACTCAAAGCCACAACTTTCCTACACCCTACGTTCACACAGAATGTCCGTTTTTCTGTGGTTTAGGACAACACCGGAGAGTGGCGACACTATACAACACTTTTCACTGTATTTTGTAACAAAATACACGTAACAACAAATAAATCAAATCAAAATCCTTGCAGTGAGCAGTGAATTGGAGCAGGAATCCTGGGCCAACTGTCAGCTTTAGCAATGGACTCTGTCACTTAACTAAATCAGGTTTGAGTCATAGAATCATACAGCTTGGAAATAGGTCCTTCAGCTCACCATGTTTGTGCTGACCAACAAGTACCAAACTACACTATTTTCATTTACCCACACTTGGTCCGTAGCCGACAATGCCCTGGCAATTCAAGTGCTCATCCAGATGTTTTTTTTTTAATGTTGCAAGTGTACCTGCTTCTACTACCCTCTAAGGCAGCATGTTCCATAGATCTATCACCCTTTGAGTGCATTTTCTTTTTCTCAGGTCTCCTCTAAACCACTTATTCCTCACCTTAAACTTAAGCCCTCTGGTCTTAGACACATCTGCCATGGGGAAGAGATTCTCACAATCTACTCTAAGTCTCTCATAATTTTGTATACCTCAATCAGATCGCCCCACGTCAGCTTGCTCTGCCCCAAGAAAAATAAACTCAGCTTATCCATCTCTTCTCATGAAACTTTCCATGCCAGGCAACATCCTGGTCAATCTCCTCGTACCCTCTCCAGTGCAATCACGTCCTTCCGATAGTGTGATCAGAACCATGCATGGTATTTCATCTGTGGCCTAATTAATGTTTTATAAAGTCGTAACAAGACTTTCTTGATCTTATATTCTATGCCCTGGCTAATGAAGGCAAACATCCTATGTCTTCTTCACCAACCTGTCTACCTGTGTCGACATCTTCAGGCGTCTATGGACTTGCACACCAAGGTCCCTTTGTTCCTCAATACTCCCTAGGTACTTACCATTCATGCTGCATACCCTCCCTTATTGGACCAAAAATGTATCACCTTGTGCTTATCAAATTCCATCTGCCATTGCTCTGCCCAGTTTAACAGCTGATCAATACCAGACTGTAGCCTGAGACCATCCTCCTCACAATCAACGCCACCAATTTTTGTGTCATCTGCAGACTTCCTCATTACACTTCCTTTATTCACATCCAAGTCATTAATGTAGTAACAAACAGCAAGTGTCCCAGCACCAGTCCCTGAGGTTTTCCACTAGTCACAGGCTTCCAATCACAATATCATACCTCCACTTTTGCCTCTTACTTCCTTATTTTTCATTTTTCTGTCAAGCACAGATTGAGTAGGCACATTCCTAGGAAAGCACAATAAGAACCTTTACTTCAGGCATATCCCCACCTGTGATTCAACCAGAGCCAAATATACCACTTGGAAAAATCAATCTATACAAAGATTTAATCTTAGCCACACTGACGGCAAGATCACAAACTGAGATCAGAAAGTGACCAAGTACATAGTGTAATAAGCGTACAAACCTTAGAGACTAAAATCTGCTCTATTAATCAGAATAAGGATACTAAGCTATGCATTATCACCATTAGTATATAGAGCACTAAAACACATGGAAAGAACATCACCACTACAGTCAGGGCAATGAGAACAATAACCCACATTAATGGACCTAATAAACGAACGAGGGATGAACCTTAGAAACACCCACCGCATGTACGACAGGAAATTGGGATTAATCCCAGGGACAATTCCCCATGTAATTTGATCATCGAAGCTGGGCTTATACAGACATAGCAGTAAATGCACTCTGAGGGATAAACTCCACATGTGGGCGCTTACCCTGAAAGGCTTACATTCATACGGTGCTTTGAGAGCAGTAATTCCAAAGCAAATCACTTCCGAATACAGAAATCAGTGATAGCCAATTCAAAAGGCTTTTGAGCCCAGGGAGGTTATGCACCATCCATGGAGACAGATGCTGAGCTCAGTAGACAAACATCGATAAGGACGTTGAACCCTGGGGACAAAGACTGTGCATCCCCCGGAGGTCTATCTCCCAATCTAATCATATACAGACACTCAAGAGAGAGGACAGTCACCAATCGCAATGTAGGACAGTTTCCTGTCTAGACAGAGACTGCCCCTCAAGGCAGGCCATTCTTCCGTCTCTTGAGGGAGAGCGGCCCCCACCTAGGCCCATCTCCGTACTTGGATAAAGACTGGCCCCAAAAGTAGGACAGAGTCTTGACTAGAAAGTGACTGACTTTCAAAACAGGACACTCTCCCCATCTAGACAGGGACTGATCCCCGAGGAAGCACTGTCTCCCCGTCTAGACAGAAAGTGGCCCCCAAGGCTGGACACTCTGCCCATCTAAACAGAATCTAGCCCAGAGCTACCTCTCACCTCCCTTCCGCTCCTTCACTCACATCTCACTCCCTCCCTTTTTCTTCTCTCTGTCCCCACTCCCGCTCTCCTTTCGCTGTTTCTCCCCCAACCCCCCAGTCTCTCTCTCTCTCTCTCACACACACACACACACACACACACCTCCCTTTCCGTCCCAACCCCTTCTGCTTCTCTCCCTCCCTCCCTCCTCTCTAACTCACCTCCTTCTCCCTCTCCCTCTGTCACACTCAGTTCACCAACTGCTCTCTTCTTTTTTCCTCTTTTTTTCTTCAAGAACCTTTTTCGTGATTTTTTTCTTGCGCCAAACCGCTGGCGACAACCGGAAGCAGCGCGTCCATTTCCGGTGTCAGGGGTCAGCCCCGGGTTAACCGAAATCCCTTCATTCATAAATTATACGGTTTTAATTAAAACTAAAACACCGCGTCGGTTCCATAACGTTCGGTGGGAGCCAGCGGGATCCAGGAATTTAACTTTTTTTTTCAAAAAAAAGACTTTCACACCGTGACCCCTTCACCCCGCCCGAGAACACTTCCGGGTCACCTTCACCCCCAAAGTCGCACTGCTGGAGATTTTTTTAAAAATTGTTTTAATTCGGTGAAAGGACCGCGGGCCGAAGGTGCGGAGTTTGTGTGGGTTCGGTGTTAGTGACTGGAGTTTATTCGGTGGGGAGACGGCCCCTTCCGCTGAGGGTCGGTCAGTCAGTCAGTCAGTCAGTCAGTCAGAGAGAGAACAAGGTCAGAGAGAGAGAGAGCCCGAGGGCAGAGAAGGGGAACCGAGGTGGGGGAGGAGGTTCAAGTGTAAGAGATTGTGGGTGTGAGGAGGTGGAAGTGGTGTGGTGGGGGGGGGGGGGGTGCTGGAGTTGGGAGAGAGCAGGGGAGGAGCGATGTGAGGGAGGAGGGGAGGGGCGCTGAGTGTGTGGGAGGGTAAGGGAAAATGGGCCGAAGTTGGGGGAGCGGTAATGGGGGATAAGGGAGGGATGCCTGGGCATATGGGTGGGGAGAGAGGGGCAGTGTGTGCTTGAGGGAGAGGGGGGAGGGAGAGGCATGGATTTGGATGGGGCAGAAGCAAGGAGACAGGGTCTGAAAATGGGATGGGGAGAAGGAGGGGGTATGGGCCTGGGGACAGTGGAAAGAGAGATATAGTGGATGAGATAGAGAGGGTGTGTGGACAATGAGGGGTTGGGCATTTGGGGAGGGGGGAAGAGAGGATATAAGTGGGGGAATGAACATGGGATGAGAGAAACATATGTAGGCATGGGGGAGAGGAAGGAGTAGGCATGGCAGCAGAAGGAGTGAACTGATAGCTCGGAATAGTGGATATTTAATGGGAGGGAAGGGAGAAGCGACTCTGGGGAGAGTAGAGAAAGAATGGACTAGTGGATGAGACAATGGGATTGGGATTGGGAAGGGGAGGGAGAGAGGAAATGGACTGGGGGTGATGGGAAGGTAGGATTTTACAGGGCATGAGGGAAAGGACTGGGGATGGTGGATTGGCTGGAGGTGAGAGAATAGGCTGAGGGAGGAACTGTTGAAGGAGGGTGGCTGTTGAGGGAGGGCAGGGGGCACCTGGAAAAGTACAGAGTTGGGTGGGCAGTGAGACTGGAGCATTCTGCTGAAGGCTGTGTGCTGGGGGAAAGACTGGGTGAGGAGCCGGGGGAGCAAATCTGGACATAGGCTTAACTGGTTGGGCAGTGGATCTGGAGGATACTTAGGAGTGAGGGCTGCAGGAGGTGGTATCAGTTGGAGGATTTCTTTCCCTTGATTCTGGGAGGATCTGGCTAGAAAATATGGAAAGAAAATCTGGAAAATCCCTGAGTCAAGCAAAATAGGACAAAATTTGGGAGAAATTTCCTCACTTGATATTTTATGAATCTTTGGAATACTGTGCCCTGAAGAGCTATTCAGTCATTGAGCATTTTAGAAGTGGGTTAACAGTTTTGTTTTGGTTACTGAGGAAAATGGCATTTGAGGTAGAAAACAGCCATAATCGTGTTGAATGGCAGAGCAGACTCCAACAGCCGAATGGCCTACTCTTGCTGTTACATTTACTGCAGAAATGTCCAGCCTGAGCAAACTGTAGGTTTGAGTGAGTTGATCGTGCTCAGTGCTGCAATTGATTGTTGCTATCATAGGGAGAAAGGGCAGGAGGTTTGAACGATTAACGGGTGGTTGTTTGCCTGTTTTTGAGGTTTAATCCTGTTTGTTTTCTACAGTGTTTGTTTGGATTTGCATTACCAGACCGCCATGATTCTGCAGCGATTGTTGTGTTTTTCCACCCTCCTGCGATCTTCACTTTCTGTCGCGATTCGGCGAAACATTGGGTTCACTGCTGTGGTGTTTAACAAGACCCAGAACCTCGATCCTATCCAAAAACTCTTTATTGATAAGATCCGTGACTATGACGCTAAAAGCAAGTAAGTGACTTAAAAAGAAAACCAAAAATTGCCTTTATACCATATGTTTTGTGAGCTTAGGATACCTTGGGAAAACAATTTAGAATCAGCAGTTGGCCATTCAGCCCCTTGAGCCTGTTCCATCATTCACCAAAAAAGTATTTTTGAAGTGATTACTGGTGGTAAAGTAGGAAACATGGCAGCTCATTTAGGCTCAGCCAGCTTCTGCAAACAGCAGTGTGATAATGAGAAAATAATCTGTTTCTATGTTATCAAGGTATAAATAATGACGGGAATACAGGTGGATTTCCCCTGCTGTTTGAATGGCGCCAAGGGATTTTTTACATCTACCTAGTGGGGGAATTGGCAGGGTCTCCATTTGATATCTTGCTTGGAGACATAAAGATCCCATTGAAGTACTTTGAATTTGAATCTGCGGTGTCTCTCTCGGAAGTGTTAGTGCTGCGTAACCCACTGAAGCCGATCTGATACTATGAGTGCTGTGTAAATTTCAGAAGCTGTATAATTGTAGTGCAATCTGTCTCCAAAGATGTCCGATAGTGGAAACGCGAAATATCTTGTTGAGTTTTCATAGTAAATCTGTACATGTTTTCAGGGAGACCAGTAACTTTTAGAGTCATGTGATGGCAGGTCAGAAGAGCGAAGAGTGTATGCCTGCAGTGTGTGTGAAGTTCTGGACATTCTACGTGTCCTAGACTCGCACAAACTTGACCTCCATGTTTCTAAACTTGAATAGTCTGGAGTCACTGTCCTCATTCTGGAGGCAGAAGACTATGTGATTAACATTCTTTGGGAGCCAGTAATGCCGCAGATTAGAAGCATGGAGATGGAGAGGGTGACTACCAGGCTGTCTAAGAAAGGCAGGCAGGTTGTGCAGGAGCCCCCTGAGTCTGTCTTACTGGCTAATTGGTATTCCATTTTGAAAACTAGTGAGGGTTATGGTTCCTCAGGGTTGTTCAAGTAGAGTCAAGCCCTGGCACTATGGGTGACTCAGCCAGACAGGGGAGGAGGAAGAAGAATTGAAGAACAATAGTTATAGGGGAGTTCATAGTCATAGGATCAGATGGCTATTCTGTGGCAGTAAACATTACTGTAGGATGGGGTGTAGCCTCTCTGGTGCCAGGGTCAAATAATGGCACAGAGTGACTGCAAGAATCAAGAATCTTATTGTGGGAGAGCCATTAGCCAGGAGCTGTGGTCCATTTTAATACTAAAGGCATAGATCGGAGGAGGGATGAGGACCTGAAGGCAGATTTCAGGGAGTTAGGAAGGAAATTTTAAAAAAAACTCCAGCACCAATCCAGGATTGCTTACAATGCAACGTGCTAGTGAGCGTGAGAACAGGAGGATGGATCAATTGAACACGCAGCTGGCGAACTGGTGTCGGAGGAAGGGTATCAGTTTTCTAAGGAATTGGGACAGTTGGGACCTGTACAAGCTGCATATATTACACCTTTAATGGAACTGGGACTGAGGTCCTCACAAGAGATTTGTTAATGTTGTTGGAGTGGGTTCAAACTAACTTGTAGGGAGATGGGAACCTGAAGTGTAACCCAAATTGGACGAATGTAGAGTTGGAAACAGGAAATTGAAAGTATATGAGAGGGTCTAGAAGACAAGAGAAGCAATACTTTGATGGGGCAAGGAGCAATGGAAAGGCAAAGGCATACCAATGCAGAAGCGAAGTGGGCATCTTTAGTGTTTGATACTAGCAGACTCGTTTTAGTTGTGAATTGGTTGCAATGGCAGAAAAGTGTGGAAGCAATGATTTGATGTGCCTTATTAAAACAGGAAAGCGGGTGGTCCTGTTGATGCTGGTCCAGAATACCAGAAGAATATGGAGGATGAGATTGCCAAATTGCAGCGGCTCTATGGGGGAGGAGACCTCACCAAATTCCCAGATTTTAAATTTGAAGGTAAGGCATTCTGAACAATGTAGACTGTAAACAAAAATCTTGTAAATGGGTGGCTTTGGTCAGTTTTATCCTTTTACTGTGATTCTGACAGAGCAGCATCAAGGCAACTTGTGCAAACTGTCTTTAAACATTTAAGTTGAAAATATCTGTCTTTCGATGGTTCTGTGAGATGCTGCCTCAGAGTGGCACATGCACCGGAAGATTAAACTCCAGTGAAGGAGGGGGATTGGAATAATCATGCGTTGTATTAAAAATTAAAAACTTTTGTTAGTAGTAATTTGAGATGTTTCCAATGAAGTGTCTTTATTTTTTCACCATTCAGAACCGAAATTTGATGAAGTCGGCAAGTGAGTGATGATCTTCAGAAAGGAAGAGATCACCTGTTATTCATTGATATTTCATGGAACTGTAAATGTAATTTAATAAATTCCACTGGATTAAAGTGCTTCTTTTTGTTGTGTTTACTGCACATTCTGATCTGTTCAATATATATCAGTAAGCTTCATGTAGTCAGTAAGGAGAGATCACATCCGGAATGAGGCATAGCCCAACTGAGTAATGTTTCGGGCATTGAGGTGCAGAGGGGAGAGGCACTTTTTCGATTCATAATTTGTAAGGTCTTTTTAACAGGATAAACTGAAGCTCAGGATCAGGGGCACAGCAGAAAGCACAGTGTGAGATCACAGGAAACACTTGAGTTCATTGGTTGGTAATAGCTGCTAATTTGACTGTATAATGAAGTAAATGGAAATAATTTGCCAGTTGTAAACTAAAAGACTGATAGGAAACTAAAAGGAAAAACAAATTAAGAACTAAGTAAATAAAATAAAGATATAGGGCCAGTGCGATGTGTTGTACTGCATGATGTGCGAGCCGGTTGCCCGCATTATAGTGCATAGTGATCACATCCACAGAAGTGTTGGTTGCTTGAGGGACTCATGCTCAGAGTTGTGAGCTGGAGTCAGTCATTCTAAACTGCGTTGTATCATGGAGGGAAGGCCTGGGTTCAAGATTCGGGGCTCGATCAGAAAATAATTTTTTGGAAGGGACAGTTGCCTGGGATTGCTGCGTTTCAGGAGGTAGTCCCATCCCTTCAATTAAGTACCTTGAATTCGGTCAGTGGTCAGAGACAGGAGAGTGTGAGTACAAATGAGGCAAGTAGAGGGATCCAGGAGTTAGTGCTGAAGGAGCCTCGGCCCTTGAACTTGTCTAACAGGTTCGAGATTCTTGCTCCCTGTGTGGGTGAGAGTGGGGGGCTGTAGAGAGGATGAGCAAACTGACCGTAGCACGGTGGGAGCCATCTAAGGTGGGTGTGGTGGGGGAGAAAAGAGAAATGTATTTATAATCGGGAATAATATACTTTGGGGAATAGATGGCATTCTCTGTGGCTAGGATAGAGAGTCCTAAAGACTGTGTTGCCTGTCTGGTGCCCAAGTTCAGGATATCTCATCTGGGTTGCAGAGGAAGTTAAGAGTGGGAGGGGCAAGATCCAGTTGTTGTGCACCACGAAGGTACAAACAATGTAGGATGGAAAGAGGCTGAGGGAATATGAGCGTCTTGGGGCTAAATTTAAAAAGCAGAATCCAAAAGGTCATAATCTCCAGATTATAGAAAAATGTGTGGCTCAAAGATTGGTGTGGGGAAAAATAGGTTCAGATTCATGGGATATTGGCACTACTGGGGAAGGAGGGAATTGTTCCGATGGGATGGGCTTCACCTGAATCAGAATCCTTGTGGATCATATACCTAAGAGTACAGATAGGGCTTTCACCTAAACAGTGGGAAGGAGGAGTGTTCAGTTGCAGAAGCTGTTATAAATGAAAGGGAAAGGAGAGGGTCAGATTGTATATTATTGATGGAGCTGATTGTTACCAGAAAACAAAAGGTAGGGACAGAAAGTGTGAATGTCTATATGTACCAAAATACCATAAAAAGTGTAAGCAAATTTGGTAATTAATCAAACTGAAAGGCTTTGTAAAAACCAAAAGAACTGCGGAAGCTGTAAATCAGGAACAAAAACAAAGTTGCTGGAAAAGCTCAGCAGGTCTGGCAGCATCTGTGAAGGAGAAAACAGAGTTAACGTTTCGGGTCCAGTGACCCTCAGAACCGATGGTGGCTGTTTTTTCCTTCACAAATTTGCAGACGAGACAAAAATAGGTGGAAAGGCAGGTTGTGAGAGGAGTACAAATAGTTTACAGAGAGATATCAATAGATTAAGTAAGTGGTCTAAAAGTTGACAAATGGAACGTAATGTGGGAAAACGTGAAGTTGTTCATTTTGGAAAGGAGACTGAAAGAACAGCACTATTTAAATACAGAAAAAACTGCAGAAAGGGACTTGGGGTTCTTATGCACAAAACACAGAAAGCTAGCACACCGATGCAGCAGGTAATCAGGAAGGCTAATGGAATGTTGGCTCTTATTTCTTGCGGATTGGAGTATAAGAATATGCAAGTCTTACTGCAACTGTACAGGGAAAACACAGGAAAGTGGATGTGAGGAACATTGGATCAGCCATGATCCTATCGATTGGTGGAGTTGGCTTGAGGGGCTGAATGGCCTAATCCTGTTCCTATTTCTTATGGTTTTATGTGCACCCACAGCAATATCTATATGAATAATTTGGTGTTGCTGCTCATCTGTCCACATCCTCCCTTGGAATCTTGTTCAAATGCTACACTTTGTTGTACAAGATGCTTATTTTCCTCAGTCAGTGCGAGTGTACACTCGTCTTTCCTCTTAATTCGCTCACTGTTAGCAACAATGACTGAAATTTGCACCCATGTGCAAGAGTGAGATATTATTTTCAAACAATAAGCTGGATCCAACAAACAATCAATTGGAGGTCATGCCATAGAGGTAGTTTTCCCACGCAGTGTCTACGCATATTAGCTCATGAGACACCTTCGATTTAAATATCCAACTTGGTGTTCACACGCTTTTATATGAACCTCACATGATTGACAGCAGGACATCTTGGCATTTATTCAAAAAGGTAACAGAGGTTGAACCTACAGGCTTATGAAAAGTAAACAAGTAAATACAAAGTAAATAAGAAACAGGCTTAAATGGAAAAATCGCTGCTTAGTTCGATTTTGTCCATGAGGTGTAATGTTTACCTTTTCTCAACAGCAGTAAGGTGATGTTTTTAACCAAGCCCTATTTGCAGTTTTAACAGAAGTTTGCAATGAGGTTTAAGACATGGGTTGTTTGTAAAGATCTTGTGCAAACCATAACTTCAGCTGTACGTGTTAACAAGAAAACTTTTGTAGTTTTATTAATGCTGTTTTAAGATTTCTTTCATGGGCTTAAACTGAAGTAGTGACAATAGACAAAGTGAATAGTGTTAGGGCTAGTGGATTTCCATAGAATCCCTACAGTGTGAAAGCAGGCCATTCAGCCCAACAAGTCCACACTTATCTTCTGAACATCATCCACACCAACCCTCTGGGGGTCATTCCACCCAGACTCATCCTCCTATCCTATCACGCTGCATTTCCCACAACTAATCTACACATCCCCGAACATTATGGGTAATTTAGCATGGTCAATCCACCTAACCTGCACATCTTTGGACTATGGGAGGAAACCATACCACCTAGGGTAAACCCACACTGACATGGGGAGAATGTGTCACCTCCACATAGGAAGTCATCTGAGGGTGATCCCTGGCACTGTGAGGCATCAGTGCTAACCACAGACCCACCATGCTGCCCATGCACTGTGGTGCTGAATATTCATGAAGTATTTTAATTATGCATCATGTCATTTTCAGTTTGCTATCACGTGTATATCTAAGATTAAAGTTCAAAGCTTTACCAGGACTTGCTATTTATAATTTGTATAAATTAGATGTGCAATCGTTGATTTTTGCTGACCATTTCAGGAGAGTGGACCGAGGGGGTGAATTTCTCCAAGGGTACGTTAGCCGCCAAGCTAAAAAGTTGACAGAAGAACTGACAGTGAAGTGACAAAAAACCTTCAGAAATTCATTCTCCAATAAAGACAGACATGCATTTATGCAGCACTTTTCATGACACCCTGAAATTTACCATCAGCCACTGAAATACTTTTGAAATGGAGTCACTGTTGTAATATATGGAGATATTTTTGTTTCTATTATTGAACACAACCTATGTTCAAGATCCATGTAACTGGTTGCTCATGGGTTGGGTCACCATTTTGTGGTCCTTCAGTATGTAAAGTGATTCATAGCAATTTAAAGTGGTTAAGTTACTGGCCTCGTAATTTGAGGAGATGGACTAATACGAGGACTGAAATTGAGAAGGTGGAGGGGTCAAGAAGTTTTGCATTATCACTAACAATTGAAAGTTTCACATCCTGTTTAATCAATGTTAAAAAAAATTGAACCCAAGGCCTGTGTTGATACTTTTAATGTTATTTCATTATTGACTCAAGTTATTAGCTGATAAAGAGTTAAAATTATAAAGTGTTCTGGTAAAGTCAGTTTTTAAACTCATGCACAACAAGAAGTATCTGCATCAATTCATGTTATGGAACTCAAAAGCAGCCAACAAAAATGATAAAAAGAGTTAGTTGCAACTCCCAAAAGCAAACATAATGCTAGAAGTACACAAGACCCTTCAGCATCTAAAAAGACATGGACACATCAATGCTTTTGGCAGGGTCTCTTTGTCACAGCAAACCAATTGATAGCAATCCTGTTTTTTTTTCTGAAAATACTGAAATTCCTGGGAGAATCCTATCAATATTGAAGTGCTGTAGTGATTCCCCGTGCAAATATATTCCTGCAACTCACGTGGAACTATTAATATACTGCAGGGGTTATCTTGAAAAGTACTGATTCATGGGTGTGCAGTCGCAAAATTATTAAACCAGAAATATTGCCATAGAAATAGTGATATATTAGGGGAACCACCTGTAAATACTGATGTATTGTAAGGTTTCCCCTGCAAATACTAGATACACTCCTGGGCACCCTCATTGCTAATACTGATGTACTCTTCAGGATCACACACAGTATCCAAGAAATTCTCATGGTTCCCTGGAAAGATGGATCTAGTCACAGGAATTCCAAGGTTGTCTCTCTTCGACTTTCCCTTGAGACAGTATGTAGGAACAGGAGTATGTCATTGTGCTGCTTGAGCCTGTTCTGCCATGAAGCCAAATCTTGGCTGATCTGTATCTCAACTCCATTTATCAACCTTTCCTTTACACCCCTTGATACCTTAATCAATGTAAATTTATGAATCTCAGACTTTAAAACTGTAAGTGACCTGGCGCAAAGAATTCTAGATTTCCAATTGCATTTGTGAGAAAGTGCTATTCATTCCTGAATAGTCCAGCTTTAATCTAAAGGTATACTCTTCATCCTTTAATTCCCTCAGCAGGGGAAACAGTTCTCTATCTACTTCTTGAAAAACGACAGTTACCATTTAACACATGAACCAGGTTTATTCAATCTCTACCCAGTTTAAACTTTACTATATTTCTGGTGAATCAATGTTTGTACCTCTGTCAAGTCCAATATGACCTCCTTGAGGTGAACTGCCCCAAACTGAACCTGGTAAATCAGGCAGCATTTTGCTGAAGCGTCGTATTTGAATTCCAACTCTTTTTTCCAGTTCCCAGTTTGTTTTATATTGCGTACTAGTTTTAAGTGGTTTGTGTGCATAGACACATCAATCCTTATGTTTCCTCCAAAGCTCCCACTGTTTCCAAGTACATTAACAAAACTGACAGATTGTCTTTCCAAGATTCAAAAGGGATTGCTTTCCCATTTAGCTCATCATAATGCAAGAGAAATCCCTGCTATTCAATATAGTAAAATATTCATTTGTACTCTGTGACATCCTGGTCTTGAGAGGATGCATGTCTCCTCTTGTGGGAGAATCTAGAACTCAGGCTCACTGTTTAAAAATAAGGGGTCACCCATTTAAGGAGGATTAAGGAGCATTTTACTTTTCTCTCAAACTATCGTGAGTCTTTGGATATTTAAGACAAAGGTAGGTAGATTCTTGATAAACAAAGTGCTTAAAGGTTATCAAGGGTGCATGGATCTGTGGAGTAATCTGATCAGTCATAACCTTATTGAATAGTGGAGCAGGCTCAGGGACTGGACAACCTGATTGTAACTTATATCTTTATTGATCCATCCAGTAAATCTACAAATATGGAGAAGAAAATTGTCGATGTATTTGTCTTAAGGCACTTTGAAAATATCAGGGTCGGAAAAACATTGATCCCCAGAGGCCAGTTTTAAGTGTATAGTTGGGGAATTTGGAGCAGCTAAGCTGAATGATGTTGTAGCTCACTGGGTAGAATATGGGTCTATAAGTTAGAAGGTTGTAGGTTCAACCCTTGTTCCATACACATATATGTAATGTAATCTAACATTTTAGTGCAGCTCTTACAGAGTATTACATTGTCAGAGGTACTGACTTTCAGATGAGACATCAGTCTAAGGCCTCATTTGTTCTCTGGTAGATGCAAAAGATTTCCGTTGTGTTATTTTGAAGAGGAACTCTTCACAGTGTCCTGGCCAGTTCTTATCCTTTAATCAGTGTAGTAAGTTAGATTATCTTTTTCTCATCACGTGATGAGGATTTACTGCATACAAACTGGCTGCCACTTTCACTACATTACAACAATGGCTAAAAGTACCTCACTAGTTTTTGTGTGCTTTGTGATGTTCTGAGGTTGTAAAAGGTCCTATGTAAACACAAGTCGACTTTTTAGCAGTGAACAAAACCAAAATCAGAATATTAGGATACCGGTATTTTGAGAAATAGGCAAATTAATGGAGGCATTGGTTTTAAATACACTTAATTTTAAAAATTGCAAATGATATAACGCTAAGTGGGAATGTGTGTTGTAAGGAAGGTGTAAAATAGCTTCAGGAGGACTCGGACAGGGTTAGTGAGTGGGTGGAAACATGGCGGATGGAATATAATGTAAAAAATAATAAGGTTAGAACGGTAGGAAAAAAATTGATGTAAAGATTATTTCTTAAATGGTGAGAGATTGGAAAGTGTAGAGGTACAAAGGGGCCTAATTGTGTCATTGTTGATGAGTCACTGAAAGCTAACATGCAGTTGCAACAAACTTATCAGGCAGGTTGATGAATTGTTAGCAGCACAGTATTTAGAACTGCTGCCTCATAGCGCCAGGGGCCTGGGTTCAATTCCAGCTTTGGGTGACTGTCTGTGTGGAGTTTGCATGTTCTGTCTGTGTGGGTTTCCATTGGGTGTGGTTTCCTCCCACAGTTCAAAGATGTGCAGGTTGGTGGATTGGCCATGCTAAATTGTTCATGGTATGCAGGATGGCAGCAAAAGCCATGGTAAATGTAGGGTTGCAAGGGTCAGAGTGAGATGCTCTTCAGAGGATCAGTGTGGACTTGATGAGCTGAATGGCCTCTTTCTGCCCTGGAGGGATTCTACGAACTTGCTTTACAGCAGTGAGTAATATGAGTTGGTGCACTTTGACTTAAAAAATGTAAAAGCTGCATTTACATAGCACCATTCTTGACCCCAAGATGTCATAAAGCACATTCTTCCACATTATATTCCATTTGCTATGTTCTTGCCTATTCACTATCAAAATTCTCCTGAAGCTGCATTACATCTTCCTCACAACATTCATCCCACTTCACAATCAACAAAGCACTTTTGGAGTGTATTCATTGTTATACCATTGGAAAGGGGCAGCAATCAAATTTTATACAGCAAGCTCTCTCCAACAGCAACATGACAAATGATCATCCTAAATCCTCTTTAGTGATGTATATTTTGGCATCGATGTGGCCTGGACTCCAGAAGAATTCCCTATTCAGATTATGTTTGATAACTGTTAAGTCAAAATTGCTGAACTCTCTCTACATCGCCAGTATTTGCAGTTCTTTCCTCTCTTCCTTAAAAATAAAATTAGTAAGAAGTGTAATTGTAGAAAAAGAAATCCCTTTTCTCCGATGTGCCAAGACTCTGTTAAATGGAGTATGGGATTTATGGGCTTCACATTTTTGAAAAAGAGAGAGGTGGTGGTTTACAACACATTGTCATGAGGCAATACTACCTCAGACATAGGACAGTGTCTGCAGTTAGAGCAGTCACTTACTTTGACAATAATTCACTGGGATAAACCTTGACTTTATGCAGTACTGTGATGATAGACGCTGGGGCGCATTTTCTCTCTCTCTCTTTCTCTCCATTCTTACTTTCAATAAAGACAGTTGCAGAGATGTAAAACAGGTTTTCAACATGCTGTCAACACCTTTCATCTACGGAGTGATTTAAACATAAAACATTTTAATATGCTTCACATAAACATCATCATGCGATAGTTGACACCAAGCCATATAAGGTGATATTACGGTAGGTTGCACACAGAGGTAAGTTTTACGGAGCCTCTTCAAAGGAGGTAAAGAGACATAGAAAAGACTAGTGATGAAGTTCCAGAGCTTAGGGTCCAAACAGTTAAAAGCCCTGCTGCTAATTGAGGAGTAAAGGAATTTGGGAATGTGCAAGAGACCGCAATTGGAGGGTTGGAGTCAAGACCTACACCAGAAACGAAAACAGAAATTGCTGGAAAATCTCAGCAAGTCTGGCAGCATCTGTGGAGCAAATCTGAGTTAACATTTCAGGTTGAGTGACAATTCAGAACAGTTCTGAATAAGGGTCACTGGATCTGAAACATCCACTCTGATTTCACTCCACAGATGCTGCCAGACCTGCTGAATTTTTCCAGCAATTTCTGTTTTTGTTTCTGATTTCCAGCATTGGCAGTTCTTTCAGGTTTTATCAAGATCTACACCACTGTCCTACAAACAAGACATAACATTTTTTATGGATATGAATAGTGGTTTCAAATTCTTCACAGATCTTCCCTTTGCTTCAGATAACAAAAGACTTGGTATGTTTGAATTCCTGCAAAAGTAAAGAAAGAAAAACAAATTAGAGATATGACATATACAAACACTCTTGTAAAATCTATAATCCATATGGAAGAAAGAAAACAATGAGAATGAATTAAAGACTACAAGGTAATCTGTCGTCTCATGTAAGCTCCAAAGCAGAGTCATATTGGATGCAAAATATTAGTTGCATTCTCTCTTCTCCGATATTGCCAGTGCTGAGTTTCTGATTTTATTTCAAATCTCAGGCAGCTACAGTATTTTGCCTTTATCTCTTGCTGGAGCACTATATGATAAAGGAACAGCTGACTGTGGGTATATTATTATATCAGACAATGAGGATCCTCAAGATGAATAGCAAAGCAATAGAACTTCCTTCTCATCTTTGTCTTGAGTTCCTCATATTCTGAGATTATTCACTCTGGTCCTAAACTCTCGCACAAGGGTAAACAACCTCTCCATACCTACACCTTCCCACCACTAATATTATGATTCAATAAGGTTGCTTCTCATTTTTCTAAAATCCAATCAGTACAAGCCCAACCTTAGTCAACCTCACCCCACAACAAAACCCTCCATTCCTGGGATCAAACTGGTGAATGTTCAAAACTGTATATCAGTTATTGCAGTCCCCCTGCCTCAGCTCTTCGCCTTATTCAGCATTATTACTTTTGTTCACCCTTCTGGTGTTTGATAAGGTATTTGGAAAACTCACTTTCACAGCCACGTCACTGGATAATCAATGAGGGAAGGAAAAACATTATATTCAATAATTCTGACCTTCTGCCCTCTGATGCTGAGTGTTGTGTCTCTCTGCACCCTCAACTCAGTGAACTTTGACCACCACATGATGTCAAACTCTTCTTCTATCACCTTTATCTCCGTGCCCCTTTGTTTGGACCGGAGTCCTGTCCCCATTCCACAGACCCCTCTACCGACCTCCAACACTGTCTCTCCTGAGGTTGTTGACTTGCTCACCAAGCTGGCTTGTTTTTGTTCAGACGTTTCGTCACCTTGCTAGGTGACATCATCAGTGGAGCCTCCGATGAAGTGATGTTATTCCACTCCACTTAGAATTTATACTGTCCGGTCCGTTATGGTAAGTACTGTCATTTCTGGTTTTGATCTGCATGGGGTCCAATTCTACATGTTTGTTGATTGAAGTATGGGTGGATAACCATGCCTCTAGGAATTCCCGTGCGTGTCTGTGTTTGGCTTGGGCTACTATGGTTGCCTTGTCCCAGTTAAACTGATGGCCTTCAATGTCTGAATGTACAGATATTAAGGAGAGCTCATTTTGTCATTTTGCTGCTAGCTGCTAATGGACCAGACAGTATAAATTCCAAGTGGAGTAGAATAACATCGCTTCATCGGAGGCTCCACTGATGACGTCACCTAGCATGGTGATGAAATGTCTGAACAAAAACAAGCCAGCTCGGCGAGCAAGTCAACAACCTGATCCACAACCTGAGCTACAGATCTTTTCCAAAACTTTAAACTCTCCCTTCTCCCAGACTCCTCCCTCTAATCTCTCACCTGCACTCAACCTATTTATTGAGCACTATCGATGTGACATGATACACCTTAATTCCTCTGCTCCCCTCACTCATTCCAACCTCTCTCTGAACTTACTGCTCTGATGAAATAAGTACAATACCAAGAAATGATCTTGCATCGGATGATGTAGAATCCCCACGGGTGGAGGTGAGAAATAACAAGGGGAAGCCAACACTGGCGAGAGCAGTCTATGAGATCCCTAACAATAGTTTTAATGCAGGAAAGAAAGTAAATCAGGAGATGATGAGGCCATGTTAAAAGGGCAGTACATCATAAGTGACTTTAGTCTTTATGTAGGGAAAACCAAATTGTCAATATAGCCATGTGGACGGATTCATAGAGTGTACTCAGGATTGTTCCTTAGTAACATTTTGTGGATTCAACTAGGGATCAGGCTGTTTTGTATCTGATATTGTGAAATGAAGCATGTTTGATGAATGATCTCAAATTAAGTGATCCGTTAGGAAACAGTGACCATAATATGGTAAAATTAAGCATCAGTTTGAGAGTGAGAAACTTGAATCCTAACAAATGTGCTAACTTAAATAAGATTAATTACGTAGAGATTAGAGTGTTGGCGGCAGTGCACTGGGTAAGGTATTTAGAAGAAAAGATAATTGAGGAACAATATCAGGTGTTTAAAAAAATAGTTCATGTGTTACAGGAAAGACATACTAAGTGAGGAAGGAGGATTCTCGGAAAGAGATAAACCGATAATAGTTAACCAAGGAAGTCAAGGACAGTATTGAATTGAAAGAAAACAATTATGCAATGCAGCAGAGATGAGGAGTAAACAGATAATCAGGAAAATTTTAAAAGCCAGTAAAAATGACAAAAAAATTAATAAAGAGGTAGAAAATAAACCAAGGGTGCAAACTAGCAAGCAATATACAAACGGATGGTAAAAGCTTCTTTAAATATATAATACAGAAATGAGAAGTCAAAGTGAACATCAACCTTTTAGAAAATGAGACCAGGGAAAAAGTAATGGGGAATGAGGAAATTACAGAGGAGTTGAATAAATATTTTGCATCAGTTTTCATGGTAGATAATTTCAATGATACTAATGAACAATCAAGGGGCCCAGAGTGGGGATAGAGAAATAAATACAATAGCTATCACTGTAGGAAAAAGCAACTAATAGGGCCAAACATCTACAAGTCTCCTGGACCCAATTTAAAATCCTACTATTTTAAAGGAAGTAGCTACAGAAATAGTGGATGCCCTGGTAGCGATTTTCCAGGAATCCTTAGATTAAGGAAAAGTGCCAGAGGATTGAAAAATTGTTAATGTAACACCATTATTCAAAATTGGAGAGAGATGAAAAATGCTAACTATAGGCCAGCTAGCTTAACATTTGCAATTCAGAAAATGTTAGAGTTTATAATAAAATATATAATGGCAGAACTTTTAGAAATAGGTAATAAATTCAAGCAGAGTTAGCATGGCTTCATGAAGAGGAAATGATGCCTGACAATTTTTTACAGTTCTTTGAGGAACTAAAAAGCAAGATAGATAAAGGAGAATCAGTAGATGTAATATATTTGGACTTCAAAAAGGAGTTTGATGAGGAACTGCACATTAGGCTGCTTAATATGATAAGAGCCATGGTGCTGGGGGTAGGATACAAGCATAGATAGAGGATTGGCTAACTATTTAAAAGACAGAGAGTTGGGTCAAAGGTGCATTTTCAGGATGGCAATCTGTTACTAGTGGAGTGTTCCAGGGATCAGTGCTGGGGGCATAATCACTTACAATACTTGTATGCTTACATTAGTAATATTAATGACTCATACTAATGATGGTAGTGAATATCCTATCACCAATTTTGTGAATGACACAAAAATAGATGGGAAGGCAAAAACTGAAGATGACACAAAGATTCTACAGAGTGACATAGGCAGGTGAATAGAGTAGGAAAATCTTGGCAGATGGACTATAATGTGAGAAAATGAGAAGGCATGCATTTTGGCAGGAGGAATCGAGGAGTTGAACACTTTTAAATGGAGAAAGACTGCAGAAATCTGCAACACAAGAGGGATCTGGTCCTAGTGCACGAGTCACAAAAAGCTAGCATCCAACCTTAGTGGGTACTAGGGGAGGCAAATGGACTATTCAGCATTTATTTCAAAAAGGATGAGGAAAACAATTGGGAGGTCTTGCTAAAATTATATAAGGCATTTGTCAGACCTGAATACTGTGAACTGTTTTGGTCCTGTTATATTAGGAAAGACATATTGGCGTTGGAGGCAGTCCAGAGAAGGTTCACGAGGTTAATCCCAGGTATAGAGGGATTTTCTTGAGGAGGGGTTAAGTAGGTTGGGCTTGTACTCATTGGATTTTAGCAGAATGAGAGGAAACCTTAATCAAACCAGTAAGATTATTAGGGAGCTTGACAGGATAGATGTGGAGAAACTAGAGCTAGGGAGCATCATCTCAGGGTAAGGGGTCACCCATTTAATGTTGGTGCAGACTCGATGGGCTGAATGGCCTAATTCTACTCGTATATCATGAGGTCTTATCATTTCTAACTTACTTCATTCACTGGAGAAGCAGCTGTTTGTTTGGTGGTTTTTGCCCTGTGGAAACAGAAATAAAGAAATGGCAGGTGAGTACATGATAACTTGAGAGTCGGAGTAAGCAGCTGAATTCTCAGGGAAGGAACGAGGAAAACCTAACAATGTAGAACAAACAAACCTGCATTTATATAGCAACTTTCACAATCTCAGGATGCCCCAAGGTACTGTACAGCCGGTGAAACATTTTTGAAGTGTTATATTGTTGGAAAGCCAATCAGGACACAGGAAATTCCCACAAAGCAGAATGTAATAATGACCATGCCATCTGTTTATCAGAGATGCTGACTGAAGGTAAAAAATGGTCAGGAGGGAGATCACAGGTGGCTTTTTTTCAGAAGTGGGATATTTTACATTAACATGTGTTGTTTCATGGAAGTTACAGCAGAGATTGTGATCTCTGGTCAGACCATGTCTGGATGCAATGGATTTAAAGTGTCCAAATGTTCTTGCCCTGACGCTTCCTTTGTGAGTTTGATAAGAATAGAGACAAAGTGAAAGAATGAAACTGCATTTGACCGTGTAATTATAATATAGTTTGTAAAAAAATCTGATCCTTCTTTAAATGTCACCAGAAAAGTATAACAATGACTGTCCTTATTGATTCATTTCAGCCAAAACACAAGCTAACATTACCTTGGTATCAATTCCCAAGGAAGATATTTACAATTCAATTAACATTTGAACAGCATAATGTGTCCAACTAAAGGTGCAAGAATTCAAAGCTTCTGAGTAAACACAGGAGACTTGAAGGACCTGCCAGCATAATTAACTTTGCTTTGTACACCAGTCAGGAAAATCAAGAGCTACAGGCAAAATGCAGGAAAATGGAAGTGTGAGGAATGTCAGATCAACCATGATCATATTGAATGGTGGAGCAGGCTCGTGTGGCCAAATAGTCTACTCCTGTTCCTATTTCTTACGGTCTTATGGTTATGGTCAACGATTCACCAAAAGTTAAAACAGCTGTCATCTTAAGTTTTGAATTGTTCAATACTGGTTATAAGAAACTATTCTGAGCAGAGATCCTCAAGAAGAACTCAAAGACATGCTCAAGAGAGAATTCTCAGCCAGAGACAGCCCATGGAAAGGACTTTCAGAAACATAATACAGTTATGCCAAAAGAGTCAAGCAATCTGCAATAACAAGGTGAGGAGCTCGAGGAACACAGCAGGCCAGGCAGCATCAGAGGTGCAGGAAAGCTGATGTTTTGGGTCTGGACCCTTCTTCAGAAATGGGGGAGGGGAACGGGGCTCTGAAATAAATAGAGAGATGGGGAGGCGATGATGGAAGGTGGATAGAGGAGCAGATAGGTGGAGAGAAGATGGACAGGTCAAGGAGGCAGGGATGAAGCCAGTAAAAGTGAGTGTAGGTAGGGAGTTGGGATGGGGGTTGGTCAGTGAAGAGGGAGGGGTGGGTAGGTGGGAGGGAAGATGGACAGGTCAAGGAGATGGGGACAGGAAGGGTTGGTCTTGGGCTGAGGTCAGGGGTGGGGAGATTTTGAAGCTTGTTATGTGGTCGAGCAGTTTCAGGGCCAAAGAGATTACCAGAGGGTAGCAGTGGGAGAGAGATCCTCTGAGGTCTTCCCAGAGGGAGGAGGGTAACTTCTTCAAGGTAGGCATCCTTAGAAGAGGCTTCGCAGTGGGGTTATAACTCACTCAGAGATAGTAGGAACTGCTGATGCTAGACTCTGAGATAACAAGGTGTGGAGGTGGAGGAACACAGCAGGCCAAGCAGCATCAGAGGAGCAGGAAAGCTGACTTTTTGGGTCTGGACCCTTCTTCAGAAATGGGGGAGGGGAAGAGGGCTCTGAAATAAATAGAGAGATGGGGAGGCGATGATGGAAGGTGGATAGAGGAGCAGATAGGTGGAGAGAAGATGGACAGGTCAAGGAAGCGGGGATGGAACCAGTAAGGGTGGGTGTAGGTGGGGAGTTAGGGATGGGGGTGCTGCAAGTCCTGTGACACCAGAATGAGTTAGGAACAAGAACCTGTTTCTCTTCCTCAATTTCTGTTTTGCCTACTGGGTTCACCTGTACAAACAACCTCAAACTATTCACTGACAGAAACAATCACAGTTATTGAATTCTGACTTCCAGTATTCAATGTTTTCACTTTGGAAAGAGAATTTTCAAGCAAAGACCTGCAACATAACAGACTGATCTTACTTTCATCTTTTTAAGCATGTTTTAATAGTACCTACCCTATCTTTGTACTTTATAATAACTATTTTACTACGTTACTTAACTTCAATCATATGTTGTGTGTAATATACTAATCTTAGTTAAGACTAAAGTTTTGCTGTTGTTTATTTTTTTTTTAATTAGAGCTATTAAAAACAGTAAAAAGGTTAAACAAGCTTGATAAATACACAGTTCAGGGACCACTGTACAAGCAAGTCGAGAGTAGCTTACATACAATGAAGTAATCTAGTGCAATGTGACTATGTGTGTGCTTCGTAACCGTGTATGCTCCCTCTAACTGTGCTGCACTGCATAGTCCCTTCAAGATTTCCTCTTGGCTGCGTATCTTAAAGGAACTGCTGCTTTCGTTTGGCCTCTTTGTCCTGTTTGATCCGATTGCCCAGCAGTTTACTGGGATTGTCGGTGCAGGGAATCACATTACTGGCTCTACAGTAAGATTTAGCTTCTTTTCGGCTGCCGCATGAATCCAAATGGTCAATGATTCCACTCGTCCAAAGTGTTTACATTTTTATTTGCCCTGGTCTCCCTCATCTTCCTCTTCGCAAGTTGCTGATTAAGGCAAGATTTTTTTCACCGCTGTCGACTTCATACCCATTCATCTTTCAGAGCTGAGGGATAGCAAGCACTGCAGATGCTGGAGTCAGAGATAACACAGTGCGGAGCTGGAGGAACACAGCAGGCCAGGCAGCATCACAGGAGCAGGAAAGGTGACATTTCGGGTCGGGACACTTCTTCAGAAATGGGGAGGGGGGAGAGAGCTCAGAAATAAATGTTCAGAGCTCCTCTGCAGAAAATGACATGAAAGCTACAGAAAGCACACAACATCGATTTACCTAGGGATGGACACGAGGAAAGACCTGGGATTGTACATCTATCCCTTTCTGGGGTAGAGGAAGCTGGTTTGGTGTGTTTTTTAAATTAGCAGAAAGTTTTGATAATGTGAATTGGGAAAGGCTATTTCCTCTGGTCTGCGCTGAGATCGTCGATTGAAAACAGCAAGGAGAGAGGTGGGAAAATATTTCTTTATGTGGTGCATGGTTGGGGTATGCACTGTTTTACTATGGGGTTAAGGAGAGGTCACTGTACCATAGCCATGGGATAAACAAATAGGTTGCTCTCGCAAAGAGCTGGCAAAGGCATGGAGGACAGGAATGACATCTTTTCATGTTTTTAACTTTATATCGCTGAGAGACCTGATTTAACTGTCATTGGATAGTTTTCCTTGCATTAATTGTCATTTATGGAAAAGAATTTTGAACACAGAATTTAAGAGCAGCAGTAGGCCATCTGGCCCTTTGAGCTTGCTCTATCAGTTGGTACGATTGCAGTTCTTTGGTTTTTATTATCATCTAACCCTGCTCCCAACTTCATCCCATCAACCACCTTTTCAATGTAGAAGCTTCTCAATTTCAAAGGCCTGAATCTGTTCCTTTTTAGCATATGTCCCCTGGTCATACAGAAACAGATCGTTCCTTGCAAGAACTGGCTGAGGCCATTCAGCCCCTTGAGCCTGTCACCATGCAATTAGATCATGGCAGATCTGTCTCTTTTAACTCCATCTCCCTGTCCTGTATGCATGTCTGTATAGTAGTCATTCAGCACAGAGATCACACTTTCCCAGTGGCAATTCTACACTCAGTCCAGGTTCAGGGTCATGAAGAGAAACCAGTTTGTGCAGAATTGGCCCAACACAGTCCTAGTGGGATTGGGAGGGATAGTTTTAGCCTACTCCCAATCTGTGGTGAAAAGTGTGTGACCGTATTGACCAAGGAAATGATGAATACCCTTTGTCCAGGCATGGAGAATGGTCAGTTGAGCAAGTTACCAGAGGATCCCTGATGCCCCTACAATGAAGCAAGCAAAACCAACTCTCATTTCACTATGTGTAAGGTGCAATTATCAAACTAAATTTGACACTGAGCCAAGGAGGAAATCTTAGGACAGTTGGAGGACACTTTAATCCAAGCACCCAAGAGAGAGAGGTCGAGCGATGGGGACGTTTTTGGCCTGGCGAGCTGAAGGCATGGGGAATAAAGGTAGAAAGCGAAAGTGGAGAGGGGTAAATCTTGGAGGATGAAGGAGAAGCAGATAGTTTACTTACTTAGAGGACCCTGATCCTGTGAAAAGAAAAACAAACAAGAATTAATGTTCAACATTATGACTGGGGAACTTGTTGATATTTAAGATGCATTGGAACAGATATAAAGCAAACCAAATAAGTGTAATAAATGTAAGGAGGAGGACTGCTTTATCACAAAGCACTACATAGGATGTACAGTAAGCCATGTGGCCCGGCAAGGCCATGCGACAGTTTACGCAAGCCTCGTCCCATCTATTTTCATACAAAATCAATCCTCATCGTAGGCCTCCAGTTCCTTTTCCCTCTCCTGTATGGCTAATTTTCTCTTACAAACCACCCCTTCAAAAATTCCCTGTGCTGATGAGTTACATATTCTCATCACTCTTTGGATACAAATGTCTTCATTGCATTCCCTTTAGGATACTCCACCAAAATCTTTCTTTATTTTAAGATCTTGATTCTTCACCCCTCAGCTGTCTTTTCTTCAAGAGATTATTTCTTTCTTTACATGCCATATATTTATAAATGTATTCATCGATACATAAGGAGCTATACATATTATATGTATGGGTACCCATGCATTTCTGGTATTATCCTTGTAACCAGCCCTTCAAGCCTGCTCTGCCACTAAATAATGATCAGATTTTAACCTCAACTCTATCTTTCTGAATATCCCTGGTAGTCTTTCCCCAGTAGCCCATTCTCCAATTGGGACCCTGGGGTTTGGACACCATCTCATCAGCGCTCCACATCTGTGCAGCTCACTCAAGCCCTTTCTTCACAGGAAATGCATCCTTTCTCAAAAATCTCTAACAGACAAGGAGACAAGATGTTACTCACTCCCTAAGTAACCCTTTCTGTGGGTGTAGTACATTCCGAGCCCACACAGTGACAGCACTAAGGCGATGATTATTACGGTGATAACGATTGCACCGATGTCAAGATCGTCTGCAAGCAAGTGAAGGATAAGTGAGAAGCAAACTATCTCATCGACAAACAATGTGCAGAAATGGAAGGAAGAACTTGCATCAATATATCAACTTTTACATCCTCAGGACATCCCCAAAAACAAAGGGTTTTACAACAGTTACTTGAATAGGTGGTTTGAAGTTTTAAATAATTACTTAATTTTATGAATGCCATTTTAATAGACAAAAGCCAGCAATCCTTATTATATGATATAAAATCATTCAAAAAAGAAAAGATGCATTTATCTTTTGCTTTCCACCTCTATTACTTTGAAACTTTGAACCTCCCTCTTGTGGTATAGTCATTGTTGTAATGTAGGAATCCAACTTGCACACAGTAAGATTCAACAAACAACAATATCACACTAACACAGTGTGGAGCTGGAGGAACACAGCAGGCCAGGCAGCATCAGAGGAGCAGGAAAGCTGATGTTTCGGGTCAGGACCCTTCTTCAGAAATACCTGCTTCTCTGATGC